TAATAAGCGCAGCAGACAGCGGAGCGAAGTTCTGCACGTCTTCCTACGTGGCCGCCATAACCGGAAGTCAAATGTGAACGTTTACTGTGAAAATTTAGCTTTCTACACTTTTTCATGAACTTTCTTGGGGGGAAGAAGAGAGACTTTTTTACTTTTGCATGCTTGTAAAAATGTTATTTGGTTTGAAGTATTAGAGCTTTTATACTATCTACACAGACAATCCAGCCTTAAATAATTTGCGTAGTATTAATGTTTAATAGTGTCATTGTATTGCTTTATAGAGCCTGGGTACATTTCTATTTCAGGCCATCACTGCATGTATCTTACCTGATTGGGAAGAAGATGTGGATTTAGGGTCTGATTTACTGAAGTAGCTGGTTTAAAATCACTGATTGAACAAAGCAAGAGTAGCAACACTGTTTGAAACAGGAAATAAATTTGTGTTTCTGGATGTAAATGTGATATAAAGACAGCAACAACAAACCTGAGCATGAATTTGTTTTACCAGAAAGCACTTATTGTGATTTTACAGCAGCCCAGAAGTTAAAACTTAAAACTCTTAATTTTAAGAGTTTGTTCTGACTTCAGATCACGAGTTAGATATTCTCTCTTAAAGCACATTGAATATTTCCGTATTTGGTCTGTTTCGTGTAAAGAAATTTAAAGTTCGGGGTCTTTAAAGTACTTGTGCACATCCTTTTTAATTACCTCAGTGAAACATCGTTTTTAATTCACCCTTTCTTTGCTTAAACTTTGTTTTAGATAACTGATTTGGACCATGTGCAAGTTTCATTGTCTTGTAAACAGGAGAAGGAAAAACAGGAAGTGAAGTTTGTTGTGAACAAAAATATGTGGCATGTTAATAGAAGTGAGTTTTGTAGTTGATTTGTGCAGAATAAAAAGTTATTTTTTCACTTAAATTGTTTAATTTTTCTTCTTTTATCTGAAAATAAAATGTAAAAAGTGAGAGGTCAAAACAGTTGGGATTTACTTTTTACAAAATAAATCAGCTCTGACTTCTTAATCCACATTGAAAAATTGTAAAAACGTTCAAATTAATTCCCAAAAAATGGTTTAAACTTTACACACACTTTCACACCAGTCAGGAGTTCATCCAGCATCCAACCATTTTATTTTTAGACTTGGTACCCAAAGAAAAAAGGGTCATAATGATCTGTTTGCACCAGAAACCAACAGAGAGGTTTGAATAGCTGCAACAGCGTGGAGAAAATGGACATAACTTTTATAATATCCTACAGGCAGTTTTAATGGTGCATTAACTTTTTATCTTTAGAACAAGCTACAAACGTTTGGGCACTCCCATTAGAAATAGTTTTAAATAAATTAATTCAGTCTGGTTTTTACTCCTACCTAAACCTTTGTCTCCCAAAAGAAGCAGATGTCGTTTCCCAACACTTCTTTTCTGGTTGTGGTTTAAATCAAAAGTAAAAAGAGGGGAAACTTATGTAACTTCACGGAGAATGGATGAAGATGGTTTGTGGTTCTTGATCCTGCAGGGAGCGTCAGATGTGTATTTTTCCACGTTCGTGTTAGCATCTCATTCTAAACCAAATGTGTGATTTAAGCTTCGCGTTTCGGCTGCGTATACGTTGGAGGTCAACACTTTATAACGCCGTTACACCCACAGAAAACAGTTAGAAAAGACAGTGGGGATTTAAGAGCATAATTTACCCTAAAGTCTTGAAGACAGGAAGCTTGTTTAAGATGAAACATGTCTGGACTTTGACTGGTCCACACATGAACATGCTTTGAAGCTGTATCTGCATTGATCTGAATGGCAACTCTTGCTGTACATCTGGGGTCATTGTCCTGCTGAAGGATGATCCCAGTCTAAAGTCTTTTTCTGCCTCCAGCATGTTTTCCACTGGGACTGAAATATATTAAGCTCAATCAGTTTTAAGCTCCTCCGGCTCCTACAAAAACTTAAAACGTAGTAAGACAACATGGCCACCAAGTCGTACCAAGAGCATGTTGTGTTCAGGTTGATGTGCGGTGTTTAGGTTTGCACCACATACAACATCTGACATAAAAACTGCAAAAAATGCCTTTTTTGACATGGCGATGGTTTAAAAGACCAAATAAATCGATGATTGATGAACTCCTTTGCTCTCGTTTGCTAAGGCTGGTTTGCTAATTGTTACAGTGGCAGATTATTTTGCTTGAAGCAAGACATTTTTTCCATAAATCCACACTATAACATGCTTTGCTTCTAATTTTCCGATGGAACTAATATGTTTTCATCAGTGAATTATTGATTTAAAACACACTCCTATATGTTGCTGAAAAGTTTCTTATCAGTTAGTTTTGTCTTATTTCAGTGCACCAAGATATTCGCACTAGAAACTGAAGCAGTGTTTGTGATGCTGTTCGATCACTAATGTTGGTTTTTACAGATCATCTGGATTTATACTGAGATCAAATCATGCATAAGTGGATTTTATTTACTTAATTAGCTGATTGGTTGTGCTGGACCTTTTTGTTGGATGACAGAATAGATTTCATAAACATGCCACACTTTTCAGAATTTTATTAGTGAAAACTTTGTAGATTTACCTTTCTACTTTACATTTACATACTGCTCCATATTGGTTCGCTACACAGAATATTAAAAAGTTTATGGTGGAGAAAACTGTAAAGGTGATGATGTATTTTCACCTGCCCGATTTATTACAACACTAAGCATCAGCCACAAAATGTCTGAGGTTTTCCAACTGTTTTAGGGTAATGTTGATGTGCTGAATCCAGAAATCTCATTGGTTTCAGGTCAACTTTCTGAGCTATGGAGCAACATGAGTACCAAAATGCATGACTTGTTCTCACATCTGGGTCGGTTTCCTCAGAATCCGGGATGAATGAGCGACGAGCCTTTTGTGGAGGAGAAAAAATGAACTGACGATGTCACAAAGATGTCATTGATTTAGTCAGATCAGATTTCTCTAAATCGAATTAGAATAAAAACCTGGTTGAGAAAAATGGATGTCAACTGAAATAATTGATATAGACAACTTCCAAAACAATATTTTTTGTAACCTGGTGACAATTTGTGAAATGTTTTATGTAATTTATGAAGGATAAACCTAAAACTTCTTCCTAATTTTGTCTACTCACTTGACAGAAGTAAAGAGGCGGTTTTGGTTTGATGTTGGGTCTGTCTGACCACAGTGTGATCATTAACCCCGTCTGTGTGCTGAACCTGCTCACAGCATCGACCCCAGTCAGGCTGATACCTGAAACCAGTCCAGGGAAAAGGTCATTAATTCACTGCTCTGAAAACGCAGCAACACAGCCGGACGCCTCTTTAATTTCTGATATTTTGAAACGTAATTGATCATTTAAACTGCAAGGCGCACGCCCCTGTGGTTCTCACAGTCACTGCGCTGAAACCGCATGTTGAGAATAAACAGGAGCTTTTTTCAGACCCAACATTAGAAATGACAACAAACAGGAACAACAAACCAAAGTCCTGCTTGGAGCAGCGATGCTACTTCACTGCCTGGTTACTCTCAACCTCATGATCCGCTGCAGCCTGAGCCATTTTAGTAAACGTGTGACGCAACGTTGTGGGGAAATTTCCCCCTTAAGGACTCTTCTGTTCAACCTCCTCTCTCTTAATGACTGGTGTGACGCTGGATGAGCGGGTTGATGAGGGTTTGGTCTGCAGCAGGTTTCAGCCGTGCTCTGCCCTTGCCTTCGCTCTTTCACAACGTGCTGAACGTACACGGTGAGGCCTCAGCCAATCAGGTTGGCAGCGAAACCACCTGATGTCTGAACCATGACTTCTCCTCTCTGTCCGTTCAGAGCAGGACGATGATCTCACTTCAGGTTTCTGGACAGCTATGAGGCATCTCTGACAAAAACCCTTCAGGTTCAGAGGAAATATCAGACGTGAAGCCATGTCTGCGCTCAGACTCTTGTGCTGTTTGCTGATGGCATGTTGTCTCAGTGAAGGGAAGAGAATTAAAGGAAGCAGAGGAAGTAAGTATCAATCGACTGGAAAATGTGGCAACAGACATTTATGTTGCTTTATCTTAAACGGAAAAGTCATAAAGACAGAACGGATATTGTGTGTAGTTCTAGTTTATATCGGTACAAAATCCTTAAATACATCTTGTACTTTATTACATAAATGACATTTCAAATTTAAACTAACTCAGATATACAGAGGGATATTTCAGCGCAACATGCAGCTCTGGAAAAAATTAAATGACCAACTAAAATGATCAGTTTCTCTGATCTTTATATGTTTATGTTTGAGTAAAATGAACATTGTTATTTTATTCCATAAACTACTGACATGTCTCTGAAATTCAAAGCAAAACTCTAGTATTTATTTGTAGAAAATAACAAAGATGCAGTGCTTTCAGACTTCAAATAAGTTCATATTCATTTAGAAACAGCCATACTGATGTTTTATCTCAGGAAGAGTTCAGAAATCAATGTTTGGTGGAAAAAACAGGTTTTCAATGGGGTTCAGTGAAGTGGACTCTTCATTTTGTCCAGATTTTTATATTTTAAACAAATTTCCACGTCACTCGGTGCAAAAGTGCTCAGATTTTACTTGTTCTATTGGAAATGTTGCCACATTTTCCCCATTTTCTGATTCCTAATTTTGATTTAAAACTACCTCTGAAATGTTTTTTGTTCACCAGTCTGTAGAAAAAAGTGTTTCTTTGAACCAACTTAAAATTTTCAACCAAATCAAAATCATAGCTTTAGCAAAACGAATAAATTAAAGTAACTTTTCCAATAAATATTTGGTCAGTGCAGTTCAAGCCAATATGAATAATTAATCAAATCAGGACGGCGCTTCATCTGTCCTTATAATCTTCACATGTGGTTACGGTTGTTGTTTGCAGCTCCTGGCAGGCAAACAGATCAATCTGTGTAAGTTTACGTATATTTGAAAACTTTATATACACGGCATGTTTATTTATGCCAAAATGTGGCAACGAAAGTCAACAAATTGTGTCTTTAAAAATCAGAATTTGTGCACTCATTCTGTCTCTAAAAAAAAATGTTTTAGTTTTTTATGTGGACATGGGTAACCAAGTGTTGCAGTGAGGAGACCAAAGAAAGAAAAAGCAAATCAAAGAGAGTCCATATCTGCTCAGAAGGTTTAATAGTTAACTCCAGCAAAACAGGAACTTGATCTCTGATTGTGAATATCAAAAGAGTGAAAACCAACAAATGTTGTGAGGGAGTTTTTTGGTCAGAATCTGCAGGTTTTTGTTCCAACAGAAACAGTTTTTTACGCTTATAAAACAAAGACGAGTTGATGGGGGAAATGTTTGGCCTAGATTAACCAAAGGAGAGATTAATCTTGCTGAGGCATCTGTGCACGTCTGCCAACAAATCTGTGTAACTTAACAATCAAAACAAAACGTCGAAAGCAAGCGATTAATCAAAAAATCTCACTTTACTGCTTTTTGTGTTCAAGTTCCTGTGGAGATCTGGGGAAATATTTACAGAAGTTTGTCACAAACACTTCATTCACTGCCAAAAAAAAAAAAAAAAAAAAAAAAAAGCTGCGGGGATGAAACATCGACTCATTTGGTGAACACACAAACTAACAAACTTTATTTAAAAATTCAAAGAACCTATTTATTGAACTATTTTTTTTTGTGTGTGTGTTTTATTTTTATTATTCCTGGAATGGAGAGAGGCGTTTCAATGCAAGGGGGACATTAAATTAAACCAAGGACTTTTCTATGTCCTTTTGTTGAGTAAAATCATCAAAACAGTTTCAGCGCATAATTTAAATGATGTCCAAAAGTTTACATTATTTCCACAAGGCACTTTGTTTCATCTGGGTTTAAATTACAGGATACATCACTGCTGTTTAATCGCTCTTGCGAGATTTACATTATTTTGTGTTTGCATTAGTTTATATCTAAAACGGACATGATTGAGCCGTTTCTTTAGCATAGAACAGACATGGATCATTTTAATCATTTAAACCAGTTTTGACGTCATTTACATGGAGATATTTGGTGCATAACAAATTACTCAGTCCAGCTGTGAAAGCAGATGTTTTGCAAATCAAGTTACCAGTTAGACATACTTTCTGGCGTTGCACATAAATTAAAACTAAAGTGAATTTCGGTGGAACGCAACGTTCAAGCCAACCCAGTAAACATCCTGACAGCTGAGACAGCAGCCTAACGAGCAGCGCCTCTGTTTGCTCTCCGAGGTGTGACGGACCCGGAGGCCGCCGTCAGGCCGCAGGAGCCTCGTCTCAGCGGCTCCGTGTTCAGGCTGTTTTTGGGAGGTGAGGACACCTGCATGCTGGACCCTCTGCAGCTGCACACTCTCACCTCCTGTGGTTTCAACAGCAGTAATCCCCTCATCATCATCACTCACGGGTGGTCGGTAAGGTCACCTCCTGCTTTCTGCGCACTCCACTGAACACAGAAACTCAGAACCGAGAGAAGAAGCGTATTCGAGAAGCACGACGGCTGCTGCCGTTTGCACATTCAGAAATGTGTTTTAACGTTTTTGCTTGGTTGCGCCGCAAAAACTAAAGATCCTACCAAGGATTTATGGTCTAGTTTATAGAGAAAATATCTTAGTGCACTTGAAATGAGACTAAATTAATTCATAAGTAACTTTTCAGCAAAATGTAAAAGCAAATTTTAAGTATATAATTCCTTAATATTGAGTGGGAAAAAACACTTTTACACTTATAACACGGGAAAATGTCTTGTCATAAGTGAAATAATCTAGTTTTTTTTTTTCATCCATATTAATTATTGACTTAAATCAAGTTCCTAAAATCAAATGACTTGTAAGTTAGTTTTGTCAGTAAGACTTTATTTGAAGGGGGGACATGCTATGAACGTGAAGGAGTCTTTATTCTGTTGTAAATAATGACGCTTAATGCAAATTTCACACTTTTAATTTACGTTTAATGCCAGTTTTAATTGAACTTTGCATTGAAAGTGTCATCATTTACACGTCGTGACAACAGTCGTAAACATTTATTAAGCGTCATTCGTGTTCATGACAGTCGCATGTCATCAGATAAAGCGTTACCGTTTTGTCTCATTTCAAGCGCACCAAGATATTCTCTCTAGAAATTAGATCAATATAGTTGGTAAGATTTTGTGTTTTCGCAAAATGAGATTCCAGCTTTATGATTTCTTGTTTTTTTTCCAAGGTGGACGGTATGTTGGAGAGCTGGGTGATCCGGATGGCCGCCATCCTGAAGAGGAACCTTGTGGATGTTAATGTGGTGATGACCGACTGGCTGCATCTGGCCCATCAGCATTACCCCCTGGCTGTGCAGAGCACCCGCACTGTGGGCAAAGACATAGCTCATCTGCTGCAGTCGCTCCAGGTCAGACTCACTAACCAACGTGCAGAAATGTGGAAGAGTTGCATTTAAATGTAACGAATCCCAAACAGAGAGAGTACCGGTACCCAGTGAGGAAAGTTCATTTGATCGGATACAGCCTGGGAGCTCACATATCCGGATTCGCTGGAAGCTTCCTGCAGGGTTCGGAGAAGATTGGGAGGATCACTGGTGAGTTTGTTTTCTCTTACCGTCCGTCTTCCGACAGATCCAGAGAGGAGAAAGAAAAGGATAAAATACTGCATAAAAATCTGAAATTATGGATCTGGGGAGAGAAAACATCTGTCTGATTACAGAAGCTGTTTCAGATTTTAGAAATGAGACCAAAAGCATCATTATGTTCAGCATTAGCAGTGAAAAAATGATGTCATTTCTGCAAGCAATACATTCAGTTTATGGGGTGTGTGTGTGAGAGAAAACACACACCATGGCATGAAACTTCTGATTTGATGATAAACTAAGACATTTTAAAATACATCTGAAAATTTCCAAAGCTCAAAAACTGAAATTTCTAACTTCAAATAACTATAGATGTGTGCCATAACTTTTGTAACCCTTAATCTGAACCACTGACTATATATTTAATCTTACTGAGGTTTTCCAGAGCTGCAGAAGAGCTTACAGGTGAAATATCTGTAAGCTGGACAGGATGTGTAATTCTGTAAATCAGACTCAGCAAATCTAAATATTACAATATTTACTAGTAAGGATTAAATGTAAAATACATTAAAAACAAGCTAAAATCCAGCAAAACCACAAAAATATAATAAAAAGTCATACTAGTCATAATATACACAATTATTAAAAAAAAACATTTGCCATGAAAAGTCAATTAAATGGATTCTGGTTTTTTAATTTAATGCAATTCCAAGCAGTCTGAAAAACAAACAAACCATTTAATCTTTGTTTACTTTTCACAGCCAGGTAGGTTTTGTGCATCACTGAAATCTTTTAACTCTTAACTTTGAGGAACTCCACATTTATCCAATATATTTATTTGTTAGAACCGATTGTGGAAATCAAGGTTGAGAGTTTTATGTGATCCAAAGTGTTACTTTGTTCTAAATGCAGCAGGATAGCTGCATCCTATGTACCAACACACTGAAATGATTCAGTTTTGATAAAACAGGAAAAAATACACTTCAAAATAACACACAGAGCGCCATTCAATTTCTGAATGAGATCAGGATTTACTGGCACACCAGTAAAGTATCTATTAATAATGACACAATGTGGCTCAGATCACATTTAAAATCGGAACAATTATTCATCTTAATTGTAAAAACTTTTCGTTTTATCAATACGTTTGTGCCATTTTGGGTTTTTGCATATTTGTGAGCTGATGCTCATTTTTCTCGTTTCCCTTTTGCGTTCTTTTGGAGAAGCATTACTCCTGTTTAAAACCCATTTCCTGTCCCTGCAGGCCTGGATCCGGCAGGGCCGCTGTTCGAGGGCATGTCTCCCACAGACAGGCTTTCTCCTGATGACGCGGAGTTCGTCGATGCCATCCACACCTTCACCCACGAACGTTTGGGCCTCAGCGTGGGCATCAAGCAGGCTGTGGCGCATTACGACTTCTACCCCAACGGAGGAGACTTCCAGCCCGGATGCAACTTTCATAACATTTATGAACACATAAGCGAGTACGGGATCCTCGGTAGGATGAGTAGCACTGAAAACACATTTTAAAACACAGACGTTAACTTCTTATTCTCTCAGAAACAAGAGTAGCAGAAGGCTGGATGGGTCACTATTTGGATGGAACATTTCATTTCTTTCAACACCGTATTTTTGCTGGAATAAACATCAAAATGGATTACAGTATTTACAGAGTCTTCACACCATTCTACCTTTTTTAGCTCTCATTGTGTTACAACTACATACTTAAAGGTGAAGTGAACAAAGGATGCAGGGTTTGGAAAGAATAAAATAAACTGAGAACAGTGGCATGTACAGCTCTGGAAAACAGTAAAATCAGAGAAACTGATTATTTTAAGTGATCTCTCAATTTTTTCCAGAGCTGCATGTATTCAGCACCCCTTACTCTGATCCTTCACAGGTCATCCATCCATCCATTTTCTTTACACCCTTATCTCTAGTGGGGTCGGGAGGGTTGCCGGTGCCCATCTCCAGCTAACGTTCTGGGCGAGAGGCAGGGTACACCCTGGACAGGTCGCCAGTCCGTCACAGGGCAACACAGAGACACACAACCATGCGCACACACACTCAGACCTAGGGCCAATTTGGAGAGGCCAGTTAACCTGATAGTCATGTTTGTTTTTGGACTGTGGGAGGAAACCAGAGTACCCGGAGAAAACCCACGCATGCGCAGGGAGAACATGCAAACTCCATGCAGAGAGACCGGGGCCAGGAATCGAACCCATAACCTTCTTGCTACAAGGCAACAGCTTTACCAACTGTGCCACTATGCAGCCCCCCTTCACAGGTCACCTTATTGTTTTAGAGGTTTATTATGGAGCATTATTTAAAAAACAGCATCGTGACGACCAGGAAACACACCAGAGGTCAGACTAAAGTTGCCGGAGACGTTCAATGCATAATTACATGATTAAATCATAGCGTTCTTTGCCAAGCCATCATCTGAAAATAGAAAGACTGTGAAGCAACTACAAGCCTATCAAGCCAAGGCTGTGATTTTTTTTGACAGTTCAAATAAAAGTCCCACACCCAAATCTGCTCTTCATGGAGGTATGAGAAGACAAAGGTCACCGATTTTCTTTGGCAGGATAACGCTCATCAGACTTGATGGAAAGACGGAGCCAAAAACAGGGCAATGCTTAAAAAATAATCAGTCAGAATGACAAAAAAACAGTAAACACACAGGCAGAGCTTCAATGAGAGTTTACATCACAGCAGGGTTTCCCCCTGTGCATTATAAGCCTGGCGGGCCACCAGGCTGTATTTGTGCCCCCACCAGACCAAACGTTGCTTATTTATTTAAGCCTTTTTAACATTTTTTAAGACTTTATAGTTGTTGTTCAGGTGTTAACCTTCCAATCATCCAACAACATATGATTATCAAGTGATATTTTCAAATTTCCTGTCAACTTTAAACATTTTTTAACTCAAAAACACGGCGAACCGGTGGATGAGTGACTGCCCTAGTGCCCAACCAACAGGCTTAGCAAGTTTTCTGGGGGAAATCTTGCACAGCATATTCATGTGTTTAAACGGCCTAATCCAAGTCCAGACTTGAACCCAACTATGAATCCCTGGAGTTGTTTTGAACAGTAAAACCTCAGCAGACTTATAATCATGTGGATCAACAAATAGCTAAAAGAAACAAAATAAGGAGTCTTTGGAGTTGAAAACAAACCTGATTCACGACTTTTAGATGGGAAAAGAAATAAAAACAAATACTGAAACCCAATAATCGATTTACATCCACTTCCAAATTACACACTACTTTGACCCCCATGTGTCATTTTCAAACCACTGCATGTGGCACAGTGTGTTCAGCTGCTCCAAAATATTTCTGGTTAGCTGCTCTCTGTGCTCTATCATAACATTTTAATTCATTAATGGCTCCCTCCAAATCAAAACATTGGTGGTTTGGAAGCCACATCTTGGGCAGCAGTTCATCTTTCTGCTTGCCGACAGATTGATTTTGATGCATTTAATTCCCTCCGGTCCCACAGACGCTGTTCTGGAAACTGTGGTGCCCTTCAATCGGAAACACATCTGCACAATCTGACAGCGAAAGCCACATTAAAGCGACCGTCATCCTTAGGAGCTAACTGGCAACACATGCTGCTTTGTCCGTGATCTGCCCCCAGGCGACAACAATCCACGCAGAGCTGACATAAATATAGTGGGAAGATGTGGGAGAAAGATGACACTATCGCATCAATAAACGGCTCCGTGATCCGACCACCACACAGCAACGTGTCCTATCGTTTTCTGCCTTCTCGCAGGCTTTGAACAGACGGTGAAGTGCGCTCATGAACGCTCCGTCCATCTGTTCATGGACTCGCTGCTGAATGAGGACAAGCAGAGCACGGCCTACAGGTGCAGCGACAACAGCGCCTTCGTCAGGGGCGTCTGCTTGGACTGCCGGAAGAACCGCTGCAACACGCTGGGCTACAACATCAAGAAGGTCCGAACGGCAAGGAGCAAGAAGCTCTACCTGAAAACAAGATCCCGGATGCCTTACAAACGTGAGAATGAACTCTGAGAATAATGAGAATTTAAACATATTATTATTATTATTATTTGTAAGCCTGTCGCAAAACAACATTTGCTGGACGGTAAACTGTCAGTAATTATTGTCACAATTAAGTTCACCTTAATTCATCATATGGTTAATTGACTGCTGATTGCTACAGGCTTAATCAACACTTATCCGATTTTTTTCATATTTTGTCACCTTACAACCTCAAACTTCGGCGTTTTTAACTGAGATTTTAGGTGACAGATCTAGGTCTGTCACGATAAATTGTGCTGGACGATAAATTGTTCCAGAATTTATTGCGATAAACAATAATATTGTTGTTTTGAGACCATTTTCAATTAATAATGGCATTGAGAATATATTCTCAATGTTCAATAAGCTTTAAAATCGAATTAACATTTAAACACTGAAATTGCAAGACATTTAAATTGTCCAAAATGAATAAAGAAAACAGAAACAACAAATGAAATTAATTATGATGTCTGTAAACAAAATCATCTTTCAAAAAAAGGGCTAGTTGAGATCAAAGCACCAGACTGAAGACTTTTGCCATCCAGTTTCCGGTTAAAAGGAAGAGAAAAACGATAAATCATGCAAATAGGACTTATTGAGTTTCATTTAATTTACCATGCGATTAATTGATTTATTGTTTATTGTGACAGGCCTAGACAGATCAACTCAAAATAGTGCATGATTGTGAAGCTGAGTGAAAACAGTTCATGCACTGCAAAAACACAAATTCTTACCAAGTATTCTGGGTTCAGTTATAGAGCAAATATCTCAGTACACTTGAAATGAGGAAAAACTAATTTACAAGTAACTTCTCAGCCACATATAGAAAATATACAAACAAATTTAAGGAAATAATCCCTTAATGTTGATAAGTACTGGCAGATTATTTCACTTACAAGTTTGAAAAAATATCTTGCTACAAGTTAAATAATCTGTAATCGGAACTAGTACTTTTACATAAATATTGCAGAATTATTGATTTAAAACCAGCTCATATTTCTAGCTGATAAGTTATATGGAAGTTCATTTTGTCTTATTTCAAGTGTACTGAGATATTTTCATTAGAAACTGGACCAAAGTACTTGGTAAGATTTTGTGTTTTTGCAGTGTGATTTTCTGTACTTAAGTTAAAAAAATCTGAAAAGTGTGGCGTGCATATATACTTAGCTCCCTTTAGTCGGATACAATCAAACGAAAAAAAAAAAATCAGTAAACAGAGTTCATCTGTGTGTAATTTAATCTTTAATATGAGGATTAAATTAATATAAATGCAGCTGTTCTAGTGGAAGCTTTCATACTTGTGAATAAATGTGGGAAAAAAGTAAGATGTGTGAATACTTTTTAAAGGCATAGTGGTGTTTGTGTGTTTTCCATGAATCAAAAGCTGTTTGGTTTGTTTCTCGCTCTTTTCCTGCAGTCTATCATTACCAGTTCAGGATCCAGTTTGTTAACCAGACGGAGGAAATCAAGCCGACGCTCATCATCTCCCTCCAAGGGACCGAGGCTGAGAGTGGAGAGCTGTTCATCACAATGTGAGTACTGCAGCAGACCTGGTGCGCCACGCATCTGTGCTTCCAGAGGGAAAAACCAACTCAACGAGAGCAGCTGACAAACAAACTGCTGCATGAAAGAAAACATCAATACGAAATGAATAAATCACAACAGCAGGACATGATTCATTCACAGTTATGCTGTGTTTATGCTCTGTGCATCAAAGAGCTTTAAACAAACCACTGCCTGCAGAAAAAAAAACAAAAAACTCATCTGGTTTCCCCTCCGACAGCAACATGAGGATTAAACGATAACCTCGTTTTTATTTACTTCCCTGCGACGCAGAGATGAAGGCATTCACGGAAACACAACTCTGTCCTTCCTGATTACGCTGGACAAAGACTTGGGGGAGCTGATGATGCTGAAGCTGAGTTGGGAAGTGTCCGAGATGTGGAAGAACGTGTGGACGCGCATGCAGAGCATCTTTCCGTGGGGCGGCCAGCGGAGCAAACCGCAGATGATGTTGGGAAAAATCAGCGTCAAAGCAGGAGAGACGCAGGACAGGTACAGCGCACGTCACTGAAAGTTCAAATCGTAGTTCCACGTCTGACGGGGAAAAGCATCTGCATATCTCCACAGGCTTTTGACGCCATCTAGTGGACACTTTAAGCTTTTATCTTGCAGCGTAACCACATTGTAATGTTTTAATTTTTTTTTTCAGGACATCATTTTGTTCCATGAATAATGACGGACAACAAATCGAAGTTTCTCAAGATAAAGTGTTTGTGCGCTGCAGAGAGGATGAACCGACGCGCCGCAGGAGAAAGCACAGCAGACTGGTTGAAAAGAATGAATCTGTTCAACAGACTAAATAATAATACTGGATGATCAATTCATGATCAGGCTTTGCAGAGTAAGAAATCAGCAAAAAATAAATAATTGAGGGGGGGGGGAAGCACTGAGAAGTTAAAAACCTGGAAGTTAAAAGCAAGCAACCTGATAACACTGTGTTTACAATAAAGTGTGACGAATGATGGGTTGATTAATAAACTACATCTTTGGCAGCCATTTTTCTTTCACATCACAACTGACTTTAACCCAGCAACTTCAGATTGTAGATATCAGATTGTAGTTACACCTAAACCTCCACAGGTCACAAGACCACAGCATCTGCTTCAAACGGCACTAAAAAGCCAAAGACTGAAGGATTTACAACAGCAGAATCCTTCTCAGTTCATTGAGTCTCAGCAGAGAATCAAACCAAACCAGCACACCAAGAGGCCTAGCGTTGGCCTTCAACAAACAGCGTTACCATCAGCAGCGAAGCAAAACTCACATCAGCTCTTACCCTGACATGTCTTCTGGACCCGAACAGTTGCTTGACCTAACCAACCTTTGATGGGCCAGGCGGATCTGCTAGGCATCTTTGTAGGGAGTCCTCAACTTGACAGAAGCGATTCCTCAGCTTGATTGAAGGGAATCCTCAGCTTGATTGAAGGGAATCCATAATCGATTAACTGCTATCTCCAGATGCCATTATATCTCCTCAGATGTTTCAGACAAACCGCCAGTGAGAGGCCACTGTCGGGACTCTCCTTGTGTGCTGCTCTGTTTAGACACAAAAAATGGCTTCACTAACGTCATCGGTGAAAAAAGGCCAAAACTTAGAATAAGGTTTCCGAAAAATAACTTACCGAATAACCAACGCAGCGATTTCAAACATGGCGCTCCCGCGGCCTACTTAGCACTGCGGCAACTCGTAGGTCAAGTACCAAGTACAAGGAACCAAACTAGGCCTCGATGAACACTGACACGATTTCAATCGGATCCACAAAAGTTTCAGTCATAAGGCTGGGCGTCCACTCGGATTCCGCTTCTTGGGAGATAATTTTTAATCCAGGTCCCAAAGTTCAGGAATATAAGACCATCAGTTTCGTGTCTCTGCGCGGCCAGGTGCTAGCCGCATCTTTTTTCAAACGCTCACGTAGAAGTTGTGTCCAACATGGCGCATGCGCGTCACGCTCATTAATAATAAAAATGGCGCCATTATCCACTGTTGCCAAATTTGACATTTTCCAGTCCAAACACAGGGTAAAACTAAACCTGCAAAACCTGCCCACCTGCAAAGAAACAGTACCAATCTAAACCTCTAGCAAAACTCATGTTAACTTAATAGCACTATGTTTTAAATCCATCCCTAATATATTATGAATTTTTTCTAAAATACAATTTTAGAAAAAAAATTTGAGAAACAGTAAATATGTATTTATAACTACATCCATAATTTTAATCCTAAAACTATATGCTTTTTATATTTTCAGAGCTAAACACCAAACTGCTGCTCCAGTATGTTCCACTCTTATGGAAAGTGAAGAGTATCAAATGACAATATATAACTTATGTAATAATATGTGATTAATTTATTAACTCTTCACTGTCCATAGATCTGTGTCTTTTTATCCGTCTTTAAATATAAGTTTATTCATAAGTTGCTTATTTAAAAATGTACAATAAAGTTTTGTAAAATATTTTTACTTT